TTTTTTTATTTTTATTATAAGGATACATATCGATTTCGCGAAAGGAGAATCTGTAGTACAGATATTCTTCCTATATACTTACCATCATCGGGTTTAACCTTTGGAATTATGAAATTAACCGGCATTTACTAATTGTATGGGGTCTATAACAAAGAGAATAAATCTTCAGATGGGTCTGTTAGGCAAGTGTCTAATACTGCTTCAATTATGGCGTAAAGATATGAAGGCGTTGCGGGAAATAACGATATAGCCTTTTTTATTTATTCTAATTTGAATCAACAGTGTACTGACGGTGTATCGGGATTAACGACATACTGACATAATACTCAAATAATAGATAAAATCACAATGAACTTTTTGAAAATTTTAACAACTCACGCAGTCGTAACAATTATTTCACGTTGCAATAAAATACACGCAGAAAGATATAAAAAAAAAATTGAGTGAAATAATTTTTCACAGCCCAAATTTTTTCGTATTCCTCATTTAAATAAATTTTCAAATAAATTCGAAAACTGAAATTCTTTTATTCATAATTAATATTATTCTATTATCATTGACCCTTTATCACTAACGCGTCATATAGTCAATGCTATGATTCAGATGTACTGATTCATAAAAAAAAATCGTTTTTGAAAGTGACCCAAGTAAAGTCTCAAAACACGAGAAAATAAAAATAAAATGATAACAAATCGACATCTTTTAAGATCTCCAAATTCGAGTAAGCTTTAATGCAGGATGTAGGGTCACCTAGTCTTTCTTAGTTCTAAAGTTAGGTACAAGGATCGTGCAATTAAGTCCTCATCTACAGTCTCCACTTAATTTTTAATATGGCCAAGTAATGCAAGAAAAGTTTCTACTCACCCAGATGATTTGCGACTAGACCCATTCTCCTTGGAGGACTTGTCTTTGGAAGAGGAGTCCTGCTCCTACGAACAGCAAACAGTTGAATGCCATGCCAGCCAGCCGATGTGGCAGGGACGCGCGAACAAGGGGACAAAAAGCAAATCGTAAAACGTTAGTAAATTTCATAATGACAGTCTTTTCATTATAAATATAATAATAACATTATATATATCTTTATATTTTCTCATTTATATTTATTGTTTTCTTGTCAAATATCAAATTTAACGAGAATTACGAGATGTTTTCTTTTTCGTATCGCCTGTCAGTATTATGGTAAGCAACCTTCCCTTGCTGCGGAAAAGCAATGCTTTTTTTTATGCTGGATGACAGAGACAGAGATGTCGGCGTCAATTCTCGTGCTCTTTCTTATCTTTTCTGTTCATTTTATTTCCAGAACTCTATGGGTCTCCGAGAGCGCTGAGGGAGGGGAAGGTACAAGAAGAGAAGAGAGAGCGAGCGTGAGAGTGTAAAAAAGAGAAAGAGAGAGAAAGACAGACGGGGCGAGCATAGCGATGCGACACGGTCGCATGCACCTGGCTCAAACTTACCAATCGCTTTATCGGGTATTAGGAAAGCATTGCAATCTTGGGTTGAGCATGCCTTGGTGTTTAAACTACCAATGGCCAACCACACATCCTTTTTCTTCTGCAAAAGAGAGCCCTCATCAAAGACAGCACGATTTCAAAAAGATTGTAAACGCGAGAGACGCGAGCGAGCACTCCTAATCGCTAGCCTACGATTACCAGCGCGTACTTGCTGATTAGGGAGTGTGTCTCTCGTTAATCAGGGATCGTTTTACACCGCCATTCTTTTCCCCCCTCCCCCTTCTTTTGACATGAGCAAAAGATTGACCCGTAAGCATTCTACACGATCCGCAAAAATCCGCGATCCGGCTGAGTCCAGAAAATGTTTCTTTCATTTTTGTAATAATGCAATTTACATCGCAATTCAAGGACAATTTACATAACAAAGTACAAGCAACAGATATTTTTTTCTTTTACAATCCCGACAATGATTCGTTTAATTAAAATTTTATTTAGAATACAAAGGCTGCGTTCGGGAACTCTTTGTATTCGACTATTAGCGCTATTTAAGTCATTCTATCTCCATCGTTCATCGAATATAAAAGGATAGAATGACATATAACATTAATAATGTCTCCCTGAACGCACACAAAGTATTCTGATGGAGAACATAAGCAAATTCTTGAAACATTTTCTTAAATGAATTTAAATATCTTATTTTGCAAGCCAATTTACTATATTTTTACAAACTCGAAACATAAGACAGGATGTTTACAAAGTTCCTATCCAATTTCTAAAAGACAAACCGGTTTTACAAAAAATGACACATAGATACATAACATCATTACATGAAAACTTTTAGTACATTGTTATCAAATTATTGCACATTAAATAATTATCATTTGTTTATACATGTATTGTAAAAAATTGAAATTTTCTAGTGTAGACATAGATATATAACTCATATATCCAAGCTACACTCAGAACTGATTAATAAGATGGATACGCACTTTGTAAACAATTTGGGAACATCAAATTTAATAGAGAATAATACTCTAAGAGCAAGGTAAGAATTTCGGAAGCCTGACGTGTCTTCTGTCGCACTGCAATTAAGTGTTGTAATACCTGATGATGTCACTACCTAGAAGGGAAATTGCTATCATTACAAATTGTACAAAAACAATGGGCAGGGTTTAGATATTTTGTAAAATGAGCTCGTTCATCACAAGTAAAACGCGTTTTCCCTAGCAAAACATTTGGCAACGATAATATTTTAATGCGATCATATTTGCACTTTACAGCTTTGCAATAAAAACAAAGAAAAATTTTAGATTTTGTACAAATGAGAGAAGTATTCAAGCAATAAGTAACGTAATAGTGAATTAGTGAAAATAAACGAAAGTAACATTGCAAATATTTTAAACTTATAAATCACAGCAAAGTTTATTCAACAAGCTCTACTTGTGTCTGATGTTTTAATTAAATGTTTAATCTTTACATAAGATAATTATGTAAAAATAAAATAAAATAAAATAATTACAAAAATTTTAAACATAAGAAATCAAGATATACATAAGACCACTTGAATATAGAAAAAAAATTTCGTAAAACTAATTTTCAAATATCCGAATATTATCAGGATTATTAAACATGAAATATTCTTCTATTTCTTATATAACATATCTTAAAGATAAGATAAATTTTATCTTTTTAAAATTACATTACATTATTCAAGGAGTATTATATTGCACTAAAAAATGCAAGAATAATTTCATTCATCCAATAAATGCAAGCATTTTACCAGATCAACTTTATATTATCTATATCCATTTTTTCTTGTATGATACGCTTAAATCCACGAGTTCACAAATTCATGAATCCTTATAACTCGAGATAGATTCTTAAACCCACAAGTACCAAAATTCATGCCTAGGACCAAAGATTTCTTCGGTACATATGCTTTGGCAAATTCTCAATCACACACTCTTGCATTTATTCATTCATTTACACATTCATTCAACTTTTATTCGCGTAAGCTTGTGGCGCAAAAATCTCTGGGGGACTCTTTTCTTTTCTAACAGTACCGTTGTTACCACGTGCACAAACAGCATGAAGCTTCCCATGGATTACCACGAGTTATCATTATCACTGTCGGAATCGCCTCCATTCAACAGTGTACCGTCACGACGCGTGTAATCTCCATTTTAATTTTATGAAACCATATACCTTTGTAAGAAAAAAATATTAAAAAATATAAAAAACGGAGTGACTAGAAAGAAGGAAAGAGACAGGAAAAAAAAGTAGAGAATGATGTTAGATGATTGCTGTTTCTTAATACCTCGTAGTTTCATGTGCAAGGAACTCGTTGGCGCACATCCTATGAGCGCGAGGGTACATGTAACGTACCATCTATAAGTACAGAAAACGGAGGTGTTGATCAATAGTTGGTATATCAGAGACAAGGGCGTACTTTGTCTACATATATATACTTGTATATAAAACTATCCATATATCACACACAGAGAAATAGAGAATATATATATAAAATAATAGAGCGAGAGATAGCGGGATGGAGGAGAGTGGTAAGTTCCCTTTCTCTCATAAGGCGGCGAGTGCATATATTAGAAAAATAAAATAAAAATAAAGAGAGAAAAGGAGACACGTTTCGCCATCCAGTACTTACAATATGAAGCACGAGCGTGAACGAGACAGAAATATCGGCGATCCAGAGATCAAATGAGAGAAAGAGATAGAGAGAAAAAAAAGGAAAATAAAAAAAATGAGATCGATATAAAGTTAACAGAAAAGCAAGGCTTACCCCTTTCTTGTACGGCGCCTCCAGCATCGCCTCGACATCCAAATCCTCCGCCATTACGCGAGTCGGGGAGCTCTCTGAAACGCCACGCATTAGCAGACCACGAAGTTTCACGCTGCTTGCGGACAAGAGAAGAGAGATACGTGAATTACGGATGGTTCTTGGTACTGAGCTATCGGCTACAAGCTACAACGTACAGACGACAAGCGCTCGAAATGAGAGCGAACTACGACCCAGATTAACACCGCAAGAATTGTTCGTTACACGACAACGACAGCGAGCGGAAGGTCCAAGACAAGATGGCCGATACCGGATATGATGGACATTCAACTTCCTCTCCTAACGCCCCCACAGGAAGTGACGCTCATCACTACGTGAATCGTTCAGCAGCCATTTGTTCGGCCATCGACAAGATACGATCAGATAAGCTTGACGCTGTATTTCAAAATTCCATAGACATAGGCTGGTATTTGTAGGCTGATATTCAAGGCTAGTTTCACTAACGCCAGTTACTTTATCCGCCGATTAATTTTGATAGCATTTGTTACTAGGAAAACTGGTGCAACCTTGGCCTAGTTTCCATCGAAGGTTTAAACCGGATCAGGAGATCGATTCTGTATTTTCAAACAAGATATTGTACATTACAATAACATTAAGGAAAATTACAAAAGTGAGCAAATTTACTAGATGTTGACCAATGAAATTATTAGTATTCTAGTAAATTCGCTCACTTTTGTAATTTTCGCCTCGTTTCAAGATACAGAATCAATCCCCTGAATGTAAGAACCAACCAACTACAGTCGAGCATTCCCCTGTTACAGCCAAACGACTGTAGTTGATTGGTTCTTACATTCTGATCCGATTTAAACCCTCAGTGGAAACTAGGCCAAAGAGAAAGAGCCTCAACTTGATAGCACGCGAACGGAAAAAGTGGAACCGATTTGTGAGCCGAATTGAGAGAGAATCTACTGAGGAATAAACTGCACTAATGTCCCTAGAATACAGAGTCCGGCGATCTCGTAGACCTCTTTTTATTGGATCAGAATCAGACTCCCTAAAAATGGCGGAATCAATCACTACACAAATCTTTCATAATTTTTGGGAAGATAATGCAATACATTACCTGTCTTTCATGAATTGAAACATTTTATGCAACAGTATGGCATTGTGTATCCTGTAAATACAGAGAATTATTATCATAGGTCTTTCATACTCATAAATACTATTCATACTACTATTCTATTTTCTATATTTATACCACAATTTTTTGTTAGAACGTAAATACATTTTATGCACATTTTTCTAAACATGGCATCTAAATGTGCAGGTTATTCCGATAGCGGTGTTGCCATTTTTAGTATATGTATATATTGGGTCATCTAAAAAGTATCCGCGGTTTTTTGTCACTAGATGTGTTGACCATCAACACCATCTAGTGACAAAAAACCGCGGATACTTTTTAGATGACCCAATATATAGAGGAACATGTACTGTCATATTCAAAGAAATGAGAATAAGAATATTAAGAAAATATTTTTTTTTTGTTTTTAGAGTTAGGTACTAGCAGTGTGGAAGGATGAATAAGGAGTTTATATAAACCAAGTCCCCTTCTTATGTAAATGCTGAAGTGTAATAAATTCTATTCTATTCTATTATTCCTAATTCCTTATTCCTTCTATTGTGCGCAGGGTCTAACGCTATCTAAACTTCTATAAAATAAAAATGAATATCGCTCCATTAGCATTTCACAGTTGGCAGCCTTAAGCCGGTTCTATATTAGTTGCAAGTCGATCGCAAGTTTGTTGCGACAGCCAATCTGAAGCTTGCAGTTTGAAATCAGCGCTTCATATTGGCTGTCGCAACAAACTTGCGATCGACTTGCAATGTAGAACCGGCTTTATAAAGGTACATTTTCACGAGCTGCTCAAACTGGCTATTTCAGCGACAAAAAGATCACGTGACGACTTTTGTCGCAAAACTATTAGAGCAACAATTTTATATATGAAAAAGGACAAGAAGCGTTAAATTTGACATTTGAGCGACAGATTTGATATGTTCGTATTTTTTCATGTATCATTTGCGATATTAATATGCTGAATTAAACAGTTATTAGATTATTCTGATTGCATATCGAATCCTCTATCTGGATTAGCAATAGAAAAAAGAATAAATTAGGTTACGTATATCGCAGTCAACGGTGATCAATACAGTCAATATAGTATGTCATTTGTGCCACAAGTATAAAGTTTTTTGAAGAACATGGAATTACCATCCAAGGCAATATTGTTCATGGACAATTCTGGTCATAAAGAATCAAATCGTTGCTAAGTATAAATGTTATTGTACAATAATAAAAGACAACCGAAATGAACGTCAAGGGCTTATATCTGCGATGCTTGATTCAAACTATTTGAAAACGAGGATGTAATCTATCTCATGCTCATTTTTCGCGCACGTTGGCTGTTTGTTTGTATTTTAGAAACATATTAAATAAAGTTTTTTAATTGCAATACTAATACACTTTACGTTTTACTATCAATTTCGCGAAATATTTCATATTAGGAATTTTTTAACTTTACGATTTGCTTTCACTTTTCATATTTTTTTACTTTTCAAAAAAAAAAATGGAATCTGAATTAAATTTTTATATAACGTTATCTTAAAGCTTATTATTCCCTTCAAAATGACCTATTATTTTTTTAAATTCTGCCTATAGACTTCTAGCATTTATGCAAAATGAACTCGATATCTCATAATAGGGGCCTTTGCTCTATTCTTGTAAGAGGAATATGAAGAGGAGGTTGAATACATAGAGCTTTGACGCTACTGAAGCCATAACAAAAAAAAAATTTTTAATTTACTATAGTAGGAAAAATAATCAAATGATAAAAAATAATTTGAATTGAAATTTAAATAGAAAAATAAATTGAAATTCAAATAGAAAAAATTATAGGAATAGAATCAAAAATAAATGTCTGAAATATTATTTATTAATTTATTACATTAAAGTGAATAAAAGTTTACAAATGTAATTTATAAATTTGATAAAAAATATTATTAAAAGTACGTAAAAAAAATTAAATTAAATGCAATAAAATTATATTACAGATTATGCAAAGAATGTAAGAAATATTCACTCAATATGATAATAATAAATAATACATAATTTGAAATTAAAACTTTTTTTAGTACGAAAAAAATAAATTATTGATTTTGATTTGTAATATCACAACCATCTTAAATTATACTATTTATAGACTAAATAATTTAAAAAGGATAAATAGTTTAAAATAGAATCTTCAAAATATAATTTTATATAATCTATAATTCTATAAAATTAAAAATTAATTTTATCTTTGGCTTTTAAGATTCATTCCTTAAAATATTTTTAATCTCATATAAATTGGTTAAATTTTGTTGAGTGTAGTGGGAATTTCCGTTGCAATGTCTAATCACTGTATCTAAACACATTTGCACTTTTTGAATGGAATCTTCAAGCATTTCACATAACTGAAAATAATTAAAAGAATAATGAGTCCATCTAGAGAGATTATTGTTGTACTTATAAAAAAAAACTTACATCTTCTGAGTCTGTTTCTCCTTTTCCTGATTTTGGTTTCCTTCTTTTCTTACTTATCTTATTTTCTTCTTCTTCTGTTATTGTTGTATCATCTTTATTCTGTAGTTTTCTTTCTTTATTCTGTAATACTGCTGTTATTCTTCGCTGTATTCCTTTTTTTTCTTCTTCTATTTCTTTTTCTTCTTCATTTATTATTTGCACTATTTGTGAATCAGTCAAACATTCGTCTTCACTCATAACTCTCTGGGAGTTTAGCCAGTCTTGAACAGTAATTAATTCTATGGTTGTGCCAAGCTGATCTTTTAAAAAATTATAAAAATGAACAGTGAGATCTTCATAACCTTTCAATTCATAGCAAACATCATCAACAATTTCAATATCATCACTAGGTGCAAGAACTTGTAAAATATCTGGCCATAACTAAAAATAACAGAAAGTATGCATTAGTTATTAAATGTAAATAATAAGAAGTATGCATTAGTTGAAAAATTAAAATATTTTTTTATAATACTTACTGCCTTCCATGATTCTGATATTGTAGATTTATTAACTTTATTCCAAGCTGTAGTAATCCAAAAAATGACATTTTTAATACTAAGTTTCTTCATAGCTACTGGTAGATTAGTTCCAATATTGAACTGATCGATAAAAAAAGACATTACATTGGTTCGATATAAAGTCTTGAGATTTTGAAAAACTCCTACATCCATGGGCTGTATTAAAAGCGATATATTAGGGGGAAAAAATTCAACTTTAATTTCATCATGCGATAAACATTCTAAATGCCCATCACGATTGTCCATGAACAATATTGCCTTGGGTGGTAATTCCATGTTCTTCAAAAAACTTTGTACTTGTGGCACAAATTGCTCCTTAAACCATTCCTCAAACAACATTGCTGTCAACCAAGTATTTTTTTGGCTTTTATACACTACCGGCCGAACAGTTAAGCTTTTAAAACCACTTAGTTTGGCATCTTCACTTGCATTGCTGCAAATCATGATAGTTATTCGTTTTTTTTTTATTTTAAATCCTGCTGATTCAGATTCATTGTTAGTACCACCAAATGTTCTTTTCGAAGGAATTTGTTTATAATTCAACCCAGTTGCATCGCAATTGAAGATTTGATGTGGTGTCAAATTTTCATTTTGTATTATTTCTAAAAAAATTGCCTTATACTTTTCAGCACCTTTACTATCTAAAGAAGACATACCGGTAGTAAAATCAGTTCTAATTTTGTGGCGTACTTTCCACTTATCAAGCCATCCATTGCTTGCTTTAAAAGTACTGTCACCGCCAAACATTTTCCAAAATTTCATTGCCTGCATTTTTACTGTTGGACCACATATTGGAAAATCTGTAGCACTGCGTTCTTGGAACCATAACCATGTAGCTTTGTCGATTGAAGTATGAATTGGACTTTTCATTCTTTTTTTACCTTTTCCTTCATCATTGTTAGTTTTCTGCCACTTTCGGAAAGAATCTTTACTTTTTATCCAATATTTTATTGTTGTTTTATGAACATTAATTTTTTCGGCAACAACATTCACTGGGGTACCTTTGCTCACTTCCTGTAAAGCCCATAACTTGGTTTGCAAGTCAACACATTCGAGTTTTTTACGTACTTTTACTTCGTTCAAACTCATTTTTACTTATGTCACTTAATATTTACTTAATTATTATACGTAACATTTATTCAATCATATACCTATATTAGACATAACCTCTAATTTTTTATCTATAGCTTAATTATAAGGTGCGTTCCGAGTTACGCATGAAACGCATGATTTATTGTTTTATCCTTCTTTATTATTTGATGAACAACAAGGATAAATGATGCATCATGCGCTTCATGCGAAACTCGGAACGCATCCCTTGAGGTAGGGTGCTTTCCAGCAAGGACACAGTCAGACACAATGTAACACAGTGAATCATTACATCCTTGTTGTTTACCTACGTTAAACAAGGATAAAACGATTCAGTGTTACAATTTCTGACTGTCCTTGCTGGAAAGCATTCCTAGGATTTTTAGAGTGCGTTCCACTTAACGTCCGCAACGCTCACAAATATTAGGGTGCGAATACATGGAGCGCTGAAATGCGAAAATGCGGAAGATAAAATTAATTAAACTTTATTAAATTTCCTGCCTTCCGCGCATTCTGTTTCGCTTGTTTTTATCTCCTAATATTACATGGAGCACAAGCATTGTTTGTTTTGTTTCTTAGAAGCTGCTCGGGATCATTCCAAATGAACTCAGCATACTTGAAATGTAGGAATTCATACTATAATATGAATGTCAGATGTCGTATGACAAATGTCATACGTAGTGTGAATTCTATATTTCAAGTACGGTGGGTTCATTCAGAGCGACCTCTAGCAGCTCCCGAGAAACAAAACGGACAATACTACAATTTGAACGGAAAAGCGGAACGGGAAATTATAAATTATTAATTTTTAACGGAATTTATTGATTAAAATGCTTGTATTCAATACATAAGCTAAAAAGATAAGCATATTAATAAAAATTGCAATTAATTAAGTGAATACAATTTTTTTAATGCATAAGCGAATCAACCAATCAAAATCTTTCCTTTCCTCCCATTTCACAGAAAAAAAGAATTTTGATTGGATGATTCCGTTATGCACTATACATTATGCGTTATGCGTGAGTCTGTGCTTCCCGTTTAATATGCATTCTATAATAAGCCATTAGTAATAAACCAGAAGTCAGAAGCTAAAAATTGACCAATTGTAGTCAATTATTCTTCTCACATTCGACTGTGATCGGTCAATTTCTAGTTTTTGATTTCTGATTTACTACTTATGGCTTATTGTAGAATAGCCATAAAGCGAGAAGCATAGACTCTTGCATAACGCATAACACGTAATGCATAAGAAAATGTTCCAATCAAAATTCTTTGTTTCCTTTCTTTCCATAAAATAAAGAACTTTGATTGGTTTTCTTATATCTTGTGTTATGCGTTATGCAAAAAACTGTGCTCCTCGCTTTATGGTATATTCATACAACTTGCAAAGCCGCATAAACGTATGCATAAAGAAAATTATCCAATCATATTTTACAAGACATAAGAAAATCAACTAATCAGAGTTCTTTATTTTATGGAAAGGAAGGAAACGAAGGACTTTGATTGGTACGGTCATTCTACAATAAGCCATTCATAAATCAGAAGTTAGAAGTTGGAAATTGACAACTGTGATTGATCAATTTTCAGCTTTTAACTTCTAATTTATGATTAATGGTTTAGCTCGAATCCTCATATCGAACGCTGATTGGTGAAAAATAGATAATGGGCATAAATTTTACCTCTACTAGCTTTTCACCAATCAGCGCTCTGTGTCAAAGCGCTGTTGTCTGTATGAGGATCCGGGCTTACTATAGGATATATTTTCTTATGCATTACGTATTATACGTTATGCAAGAGTCTGTACTTCCCGCTTAATGCTCGCGGCAAAATGTGATGCGGTAGCCAATAAGCTTACAGCTCCTAATGTGTTCATTGGTTACCACATCTCATTTTGCTGCGCGGCAAGCATTTCCGCGTCCAGTGTGCAGGAGCCATAACAGTTATCTATTGTATCGGCGGGGGGGGGGTGGGTGTGATTGGTTACTTTATCGCTATCCTATCACGTTTTGTGATCAAGGATTCTGAATGCCCTTCTCTGTTCTCATCTTGTATATCGCTTGATATATGCGTCGCGTATATACTTATGTGTGTGTGTGTGGTGCGTGTGACTTGAATCGTGTGTGTACATATGTACACAACCGTGTATCGGTGTATACATATATAGGCATAGCGGAGCCCCAGAGAAATTCCTGTGTTTATTAATAATTTCTCTCGACATTGTATAAAATAGAGCCAGAAACGGTTTAGAATTGGCATAATTAGAGATCGTTAATCAGAATCTTTCGTGCATCTATTCTTTTGATCTGATTAATTTCGGTAATTTCGGATGATTGTAACTTGAAACTTAATTGTGGCGGCTCTTTGCAAAATGCACAAAAAGTGGGCAGAGATATATTCTTGAAGAAAAAGAGTTCGATTTCTTGACTTAATTAATTATTGCGAAAAGTACAAGACAAAATTTCTCATATTTCAACTGTTAAAATGGCTGCATCCTTGTCAGGTGAGTTGTGAATTTGTTTTATAACGATCTTTTAAATTTGCAATTTTTAAATTATTATTAATTTTCAAATTATTAATTTATAACGATTGAACAACGCGTAAACAGTAAATAATGTCATCTTCTATTCGTACTAAATGATCTTGTAATTTACATTTATGACATATTTTGTTTGTAAATTTGAATACTTAAAGTAACTTTTACAGATTTTACTTTTCCTTTTACTTCTTTAACATATAATTGTATATCAATTTTTTATAGCTTATTGGGTAAAGTTTTTCAAGGGAGCTGGATTTTCTCAAGATGTAGCCACTAAACATGCAGTTGTGTTCTCAAACAATCGTATCAAACCAGATATGTTGCCAGATTTGGATAAACCTAGTCTCAAAGAAATGGGCATCACGTTAATGGGCGATATGATTGCTATTTTGAGATATGCCAAGAAAGTAGTGGAAGAAACAACCTGCGAGAGATTTTTAGTTGATTCAGAAGACACACTTCCAACTCCAAAGATTTCTGTATCAAAACCTATTATGAAAAAAGGAAGCAAGGAAATTGGAAATAAGAGTATGGTTTTAGCAGCATCTAAAACAGACTCAAAGAAGATAGTTAAATCTTTATCTGCAACAAAAAAGATTTTGACTATAAGGAAGCCAATTTCTGTTCCAGTTATCACTAATGCTGTTAATCAAAAGCCGATATCTGTCAAAAGAAAATTGACATCGGAAGAAGTATATCAAGACAATGATGAAGATAACTGGAATATTTCAGAAAAGAAAGTAAAAACGACAAATGGTAGTGAAGATAATACCGAATATACTGTCGCAACACCGAAGACAACAACAGTAAGAACTCAGATACTTAAAAAACCTGTTGAACAAAAACGTACAGTATTTGATAGATTAGGCGATAGCTCGGTCACGAGCACAACTAATTTAGTTGATACGACGCCTACTTTCAATATTACTGGAGTTAGTAAAGAAGTATTTAAGAGATCTACTAGTGTTTTTAAGCGTCTCGGTGACATAGATGATAAGAAGGATCAGATAACTTTCGCAGGAATACTTAAGAATGGATCAAGTATTACCAGTACACCAGGCATACTGAAAAATCGAACATTACCTAGTGTACGCACGTCAATTATAACGACAAAAAGAGTGCCTAAAATTACCGGCACTATGCATGCCGATCACGAAGTTAACAAGAAGATTATTTTGAATAATACAAGTCGTATATTGAAGCTGAAAAAGGAAGTACCTAATGTTAAATCGAGTATTGAAGGTATTTCAAAAAAAATATCTACAGTCACATCTGGCAAGTTAGGTTTGTATATAAATTTTACTAGTATATATATATAAATAATTGTGTGAAAGGGAATGGTTTTTCTTGATTTTATTTTTACAGCTTCAGAACGTCTTGTCTCAATACCAGCCAAAGCACGCTTGGGCACAACCACTGCCAAACAAGTGACTTTCAGTAAAGTGGCAACAGTGACGCACGTCAAAAGGGCAGATGTTTTCAGTCGCTTGGGCATTTAAGTTTGGCTTGATCCCCCCTATCAATCGCGAACAAGCAATGGTTTGCAATCGAACTGTTATTTGTATAAAGTTAGAGTTTTCCGAACCAACTGCATTAATATTGATTAATGTTAATCAAGTGATTGATTAGACTTTCTTTTTATTACTTTCTGGATATATCCAGAGGGTGTTTTCCAATTGTAAAATCACTAGACACTTTTGTGCACAAGTTACGTTCCAATTGATGTAATCATCGTCATTAATACAACATCTGTAATAGCTCAGCCAGAGCTATTAGCCGGTTGTGTAAGCTTGTGATTTCTAGTAACCATTACATGTTATTAACCGCGGCAGCCATAAATAAGATTGGAAGACATTGAGTGATTAGCATTTTTGCTTTTTTTCATTTAATGAAGGCAGTAAAAGGTAAATTTAATCTAATTCTATCTGAAATGGAAACTACACAGCGTACACATTCTGTTCTAATCGGTTTGTACACTTTGTGCATTACTGTGTACACTGTTAGAAATGTTCTTAAACTTCATTAAATTTTAAATTACACAATTTGAACTTAATTTCATGACATTCATTAAATTTAATGTATTTTTCATGAAAATTTATGAAATTTAATTTTATTTTTCATAGAATTTTATTAAAATTTTCATAAATTTAATGTTCATTTAAGTGTGCCTTCCAACAAGCGACACGATGCAACACAGTGATCATGTCATCTTTGTTTAACATTAACAAATAACAAGAATGCAATGATCCATTGTGTCATTTGTGTCGCTTGTTGGAAGGCACACAAGTAATTACTGTAACTTAATTTTCAGTTATATCATTCATTATTTTTAATTTCATAATCACGAGTTTCATTTATATGTAAAGGATTTCTAACAGTGTATGTTAGTGTTAAAATGTGTTAAGCAATTGAAAAGCACCCAGAGTGGCTTGCAAGGTTATTGCAAGATTATGATGAATGACGTATAGAATGTAAATATAATAAGAGATTTGCGATTAGATTTATAATTTAGTGACGCCATGAATTGCTCGGTCATAAAAAACGCAAATTGTATACTATAATTCGCAGTGCAATGTATTTTTTTATTTAGAAATTTCTACAAAATTATTCAAACTTATACTTTTTTCTTTTTTTTTTATTTAAGACATTTTAAGAGACGATTCGATTTTGTATAAAAATGAAATAACTAGAATTATATTCTATAAGATACAACTGTATTTTAAACTTGGATTTATGTGTAGCCTTTTTGACTTTAAGGAAAAAAAAAAGAAAGTTTTATGGGGTATCGTTTTTCCTATACTATATTGCTTTCTATGTTTTTATAATACTCCGAGATAACGATACATACAAATACAAATGTACGGGCAATTAGATTTGCTATATTTTGAGAAACGACTTGTTATTTTTAATTGTATTTCCTATAACTCAATTCAACACCTTTTGCTCTTCCTGCATACAATAAACATTTATTTGTTTTATAATACATAAATATTGGTATGAAAAAAGAATAATCTGCCAAAAGTGTCCTATAATATTCTATTATCAACGTTTATCGATTTTAAGTAATTGATAAGTATGACTTGTGATAATAACAGATTGATGTAATTATATAAGTGTTTTGTATAACTGAACCATTGCCATATAATATTAATTTGTTGCTATTTTATATTTCGTAAGTGAATATTGAAAAATTTATTTTTATAAGATTTCTGATGATAAATCTAAACAAAGTTAGAGAGAGAGAGAAAGAGAGAGAGAGAGAATGAGTGCTCATGAAATATTAACAAAAACGCTTGTTTGATATATCAACAAAAAGGATATTCATCAATAAATGTTTGGGTTTTTCATTACTATTAAAATTTTAAGATCTAAGAAGAGAATTAGTGTACTTTTCAGTAAATATCTATACGGAAGCAATAATCTCTTTATAATCTTTATTATAAAAAGCTTAAAACACACACACACACACACACACATTAATGATCAGTACATTTTTATAATTTTTATATTCATTTCCATAAAAAATTTGTCAAGACAGTCCCCAATAAATACACGCGAAAATATATTTCTTTTTTTCTTTTCAAAAGTATGTTTATTTTTATCAATATATGTATATAGAGTAACTGTTTTAATCTCTGTTTAATTTACTCCTTATCTTTCTCTAATTATTATTTAGAATTAAAAAAAAATAAAAAGTAAATTAAACTAAGATTAGTTAATCTTGATAGAAATGAATATTAATGAGACGAATGTTTTTATATCAAGTAGTCTTTATTTTTGAAATTTATTATGGAATAATTTTTTTTCTATTTAAATGCATATGAAAAGAAAAAAAAAGAAATATGAAATCTTAAGTCTTCGCCTACTCTTTTGATTAACATCTCGTATACATTTGTAATTCGTACTCATAACTTATCGAATCAAATTCGTCCATTTACATTCGTTCGCGCTCATTCACTTGGCTTCAAATTGTTTTTTAATAACACCTCATTGGTGGATATATAATTTCTTGTCAGTACATGATATGTAGAATAAAAATAATGATGTCTCTCTCTTGTCAATATAAAAGGTTCATTCAGCAGCAGTCAGCCCTAAGTAAATTTTAATGTCATGATCGTCAAATGGGCCTGAGAATAAGACTATAAAAACCCTACCTAATTTGTTGATATGATTTAAATTAAACAATTTTATATATATATATAAAATATAGTCAATTATAATATATTACCACAATTATTCATTTATTATTAAATGCTGTGTAAATAAGCATACACATTGCAAATAAACCTTTTTCTATTGATTATTAGTCGATGTTATATATGAATGATGGAACGCGATGATAACAATAGAAGTGCAATTTTATAAATAAAAATGGAATATTGTTATCGGACCTATCAAGTCCGCTTGATAATCAAAAATTTTCTCAGGATTGGGCTCATTAATAAATACTTTATCAGTCTGTTCCAACTTTTGGTACTGTTCCAAGCTCAAATCGAGCAGGAGCGAACGCGAACAAGCACGAATGAAGAATTACGAACGAACTCGACGAGTGCGACTGATATTGCGAGTACAAACGAGCCCAAATGAATATCGACTAATATCTTTTGCTTTTCTTGTCGATATGTTTATCAAAGGAAAAGCGTTCGGTGAGGTGCTAAAGAACTTATTGTTACCTATTATTAGTGGTAAAGTGATTGTCTGTCAAGTGGAAGACACGGATGCGATTCCCTAATCCACAATAGGATTTTTTTGAAAGGAAACATTAATCCACTTTAATAAACGCATAATTATTAAAAAACAAATCCAATGCAATTTAGCAATATATTGTGTGGTACTGTGTTATCAAATCTTGTCATAAACCATGATACTTTATCCCAATAGGACGGAAATCTATAGTAGAAAGGAGAAAAGCACTTGTTCGTGATCGTTCATGTTTGATCAGTCTGAATGGGTTAACACATTTTCTCAGTCGAGACATTCATAAGACTCGATTTTCATTGAAGTCTTATTCCGTTTTGTTAAATAGATATAATACAAATATATATATATAAAATAATAATAAATATATTATGAAGTATAATGGAGTGGCCAAACGATAAAGCTTTATTATTCATTAATGAAATTGAAAGCTTACCGATTTTATGGGATTCTTCAGATCCATATTATAAAATTAGTAGGAAAAAAAATGAGACGTGGGAAAATCTTGCCAACAAATTCTGTACAACAATACTAGATGTTAAAAAGAAATGGCTTTCGTTACAGGTAAACAAATGTATTTGTTTTTTATATACCAGTATTTTATTGCAAAAAGTAATTATAACTTTGAGAATTATTGTACGTAATTATTTTGTATTCAATGAGTTCAGCACAAATTGGTCTTTAATTATTGATAATTGAATCTATGAATACTTTTCTAGGCGTCATACAGAAGAGAGAGAATTAAGATGATTGATTCTGCAAAGGGAACTGAGAAAAAAGTATTATCAAAATGGTTTGCATATCGTGCAATGACGTTCTTGGGAGATCATTATAAACCAAGAGGAATTAGAGATACTTCTGAGGTAAAATAAACATACATTTACAGTTTATAAATTTCTTTTAATTTTAATTCTAAAAGTAAAATTAACCTCCAATAGTATATCTTCTCTTTTTAGAATAGATTATGAATTTTCATTTTTTTTTTTAGAAAAAATAAATTTAATTCTTCAGTATTGTTTTTCCTTCGAACCATATCATTATTTGTTCATTCTGCTCTTCAAATTATATCATTCAGTCACAAAATTTTATATCTATTAGGTGTTGGAATTAATTCGTAGCGTTTT